AAAAACCAGCACACACACAGCAGCATCGAGAGTGCAGCAGAGGCTTGAGGTCATCGTGGTCAAGTATAACGGAAGTGGCAATAACCACACTTCGCTGCCGGGTTAACTCACTCAACTTTTATCTGCTTAGAGCAAAGCAAGCACTGTCTACCCTGTGTCTCTTCTGTAAGAAGGAGGAGGAACGAATTAGTCATTACGTTCTATTATGACACCGGCACACATCTTTGAGGAGAAGATCCATAGCACCACCTCTTCAAAACCTGGGTCTGGAAATGTCCGAATCAGTTGTTCTTTCTTTTGGCGCCTCTAGTCTGGGCTACAATCACAGGGTTGTTTACTACGCCAAAGAGGGATTTTATCATTCAGACTAAAACATTAATGATGTAAATTCTTCATTCTTAAATATACAAATACTATTATTCAGTAATTAGGTTTGTTGTACAACCTTCTTTTAGCTCATACAAGAAGTATTTCGAAGAAACACTTAAAAAAAAGAAATTCACCTAACACTCGGCCAATCCCCTGCATTGTGTAGAGTCGCGAGAAGAAGAGAAGAAGAAGAAGAACTGGAGGAGTCGGAACAATGACGAGGCATTCGACTTCGGGACGACGGCGAGGACGGCTGCCGCAGCTCCTGGCGCATCTCCCATTTTACGCGGGGCCGTCCAGGGCTTCGCAGCGCCCCTGGGCTCGCTGGGCGTGGCTAGGAGCGGCCACTATGGAGTCAGAGCTGGAGACGCGGGTAAGCATTGCCGTCGTCTTCGTCAACCGCCATGACCTCTGCGTGATCGTGGCCGTGCTCGACGTAGCCATCCTTGGCTGTGCCTGTGTGCTGGGCTACTCGTTTATCAACTTCGCCATGCTGAGACGTAATGCCGAAGAGGTACGTAGTTACATCGCGTCCTGGACCAACTCCAGAGATCCGTTCGGTGGTGGCAACCCGAGTACTGACCACCTAAGGAGGAGCGATGCTAACAAGGACGCCATCAAGGCTCCTTCTTGGTGTTCGGCAAGACTGGAAGTTTGACACGGACGCCATCAAGGCTGCATTTCCTGATATTCAGAGAAGACAAGATTCTGACAAGTCTGACAAGGACGCCATCAAAACTCCGTTTCTTGATATTAGGAGACATTCAGAGTTTAACACGGACGCCATCAATGATCTATTTCTTGGTAGTCTGTGAGGATGCCTGTTTGATGTTCGTGGAACGCCGCTTGCATTTGAAGGAACATTTCCGCCATTTTGCTCGTGGTCCAGAGCGTCGACTACGTCTTCAAGTGATGTCCATGGTGTCAATAAACTTGTTTCACTCTCCATGTTTCAACAAAGCTGTTTGTCTCTCGCATCGTTCAGGGCGGCAGCAGCGGCTTCGCCTCTGCTTTTGCCTCTGCGCCAGAGTACTTGTTCTTTTTTATAATAGCGTGTGTCAATGATGGCACTGGGATGGTAGTTTCAACTAGCAGAAGTTCTAGGGATGAATGAGTCACAAAACATTTAGTGGGACAAGATCGGATTTCAACTTTATTGGGGTGATCAATGCGAGCTCGTATGTATGAAGACCGTGTGCGTGATTTGTTTTTCAGATATTTGTTGTGGTAAACTTTATGACAAATACAATGATGAGAGAGACGAGGGAAGGACAAAGTTTTAGGGTGCATGAGAATTAAAACCATATTTTATTTTCTTGAATTCATGGTTCTAATCGATTGGTTGATTGCCCCTTTTATTCTGGCACCACCAACAAAGGGAGATCAGCCTGAAACGAATGACGCCTTCCTGTGTAAAAGGATTTTTTCGTGATGCAAAATGTTGCGCAAGAGATGTTTTTAAAAACAATTTTTACATTAACTCACAAGAAGAAGAGAAAAGAAATAAAGACTAGTGTGTAATGAACGTGTTGGATTACGATATTCTTGCAATTCGCTTCAATAAATAAAAGCGGTCAGCATAACCACGGAGTGAATTATTATGAGGGGGATCTGTCAGTTCGTTCATTTGTTGATGCTTCCGTCCGCGCGTCTATTCATCCGTCTGTCCCTCTGTTCGTCTGTCTGTCCATCTGTCCGTCTAGTGAACACTCCAATTACCACAATCTCGCACCTTTTCATCGTACAATCATCATACATAAGTACCGCCATCCTGCGGACATTCTAAGGACTAAACGAGAGATGGCTACTACTACAAACACGGGACGTACACACAAGGCGTCAAGAGCTTCGTCCCTAAAAGACGATGACTAATCTTTTTTTGAATAGTATGCTGCATATCAACAAGCCTAGCAATGAATTCATCTTTTCTCCCGTAGGTAGTTGTTCCAAATGTACTTCTTACTGTTTCGTCAACTTCTTCATGTCCAATACCGAGCTATCTCGTGCAGTGGGCTGTCCGATTTCGAGTCTAGCCAACCGAGCTATCTGTCAGAAGAAGAAGCTGGTGACGAGGCCAAGCACTCGTTTTCCAGGCTCTGTCCAGCGGACTAAAAGCGATGGGTAAGCGATTATGCGGCTCTTCGCTGTGTCTCTACCACGAAGTCGCACTTTCGGGTGGATAAAAAAGTGATTCTGGTATAAGGCGCTATACCCACACTCTAAAAGGTTCGTTCCAACAGTGTCCCATGCCTTTATTGGAACAGACTACATTACCATTGTCCAAGAAAACTGCTTTTACCCAAATCAGTGCTTCTTCCGAGGTTTAATGAAGCACACGCTGCAACTCAAAGCCTTGTGTTAAACGCTTCATCGGACTCCTTTAGTTCATTTCATGGAACGCTTGGATAAATCTCAACAGCTGCTAGCATTATCACAGCGTCCTTGTGTGTCCCTGCAAGCTGTCTTCACTCGGAGATACTTTCGCTTCAGTGTGCGAAGCAGTTCCTACTATGTTAGAAGCAAGACCTCAGGGTTTGGAGACTACGGCGTGGCCCGGCTGCGCACGAGGTTTCAGCTGCGATTACGGCCAACGGTGGCCGCGTCTCAACAGCAGCAGCGCGTTGAAACAGCCGTTTAGTTAGGCGTCAGAGTTTTCCGGCCTGACAAAATTACTCTTGAATTTTCTATATTTGCCACCACAAGTCGTTAATTCCAATCAAAGGCGAGAACCAGGCGGAGAAAATGTAGGCCAAGGGGGCCTAGTAAATCACCCGTATATGATGTGTCCTTTTATTGTATTGTAGATACGGCGGCTATGATCAGATAAATCAGTTCGCAAGGCTTGAGGTTGTTTGTGCAACCTTTTTGTAGGCTTAGAGTGGAGAAATCACAGTCCTATCAAAATGAGCCAACATATGCACGTGTGTTATTTCACGCTTATGTGGTGTTTTTCGCCATGTAATCCCAAACCTAGGAATATTGTTCCCATCTTGCCTCAGAAGCACACGCATATAGATGGGAAAACGTGTGGTGCTTGTACATAAATTTTCTGGAATTTTTTTTTTCTGAGGAATTTTTCGCAGCCGCCGGACCTGGCTGGTCATCCTAAAGCTTTAGTTACCATTGTTTCACAATAAAAACATTTTCTCCATTCGCTTCAATGCCACCTAAAACTAGAAATTGCGACAATCCAATTTGCTTTTTAGTCCAACAGTTACGCGGCATATCCGCAAACAATTTCCGAAAGAACAGCCGAGAATTTCAATGAGGTTCCACGGGTCCGTCGTGCTGAGCGTACGGGATTGCAAAAGCGTAGAGTTACTGAGTATGCACCCGCAGGTAGGAGCCAGGCACAGAAACTCAACAAATTCGAGCTAATAATTGCAATATACAAGTCGAGGATCACTGCCAGAATTCCCCGAGTTTTCATGCACTGCGCCTGGTGAACTCATAGTTTGTTAGAATGCATTTTTTGGTGCATTATCACTCAAGCATATCATTGATTTGTTTCATCAGCAACCCAGTACATTCGGAAACTTATTCATATTCTCCCTCTGATGGTTACATGTTTTGTAGGTTATAAAACATGCCACTCTAATAGCCTGCACCAGAACATCAGCTACTTTGTTATCTCTAATCCAAAATGTCCAGGATGTTTGTTGATAGCGCTATGCCTATATTTTCGTTTGGAGCCACTGATGCTTCAGTGATCAAGTTATTCCATCCTGTTTAAGTATCACATTGGCTGCCGTAGTGGTCTAGTGGCTAAGGTGCTCGGCTGCTGACCTGCAGGTCGCGGGATAGAATTCCGGCAGCGGCGGCTGCATTTTCAATTTAGGCGGAAATGTTATTGGCCTGTGAGCTCAGGTTTGCGTGCACGTTAAAGAACTCTACGTGGTTGAAATTTCCGGAGCCCTCCACTATGGCGTCTCTCATACTCTAATGGTGGTTTTGGGAAGTTCAACCCCACATCTTAATCAATGAAGTGTTACATCGGCATGTCGACTAGCTTTACTTACGCTATTCGCAGCTATAACTACCCGCCACTAAGCCTCTCAAACCTTTGCCTATTACAGATTTCACAGATCCTTTCAAATTTTCTTCCTCGCCACTTTCTATAAAAAATAAAGTAACTTGCCCCCCCCCCTCACCCCCTCCCTTTACTAGTAGAAGACCCTCAGCAACTTCCCCAAACATAGCAAAAAGGCGTTTGATAGCCTTAGAAATATAATATCGTGTTACGTTTTCTCGTATCATCTAAATAAAGCTCTAATGTGTTTGTAGCTTGAAAGTGTGATATTAAGGTCTCTTTACTATTCTGGTGCTTTTTTCTGTTTGTTCATCCTTTTTTTTCCTTTTGATTATACTGTATCACTGTCTTAGATTGGTCCACCTGTCATAATCCCCCAAATATAGATAGTATGCATACATAACTTAATATTAAAGAAAGTCAGAGCAATGCGGAATGGCGGACATACCTCTAGTGATACATTCCTCGTGGAATGTCGTTACTATTAACTTTTTTTCTTATCACATACGTGGTTGCATTTTAATCTAATGTCAGGCACCGAGACAAAATATGGGTAAATTCTGATGACTGTGCTTTCTTTTCGTCAGCTGAACTCAGCGAGATGTACCAGGCGTCTCTGAGTAAGTGATTCGAATATCTCTGTGCGAGTTGCCATTTTCACCTTGGCATTAGGCTTACCTATTTTGGGGTCATACCGATTGTACTGCTATACCTTCGCCGTAGGCTGACCTTAACAAGAATCGGCATTCACGCGAAAATATAAAAATTAATACGAAGAAACACAACTACTTCGTCAAACCGTGTATAAAAACGGGCGAATGAAATGAATATAACAAATAACAAGCCGCTGCCTTAACTTAGCCATTGAAATCTCATTCGTACTAACCTGAAACTACTGAAACTACTCGTTTACTGGCAGAACACGTGGTATACATTGCGGTCAGCTTTTATTGTGAAAGTTTTCTGCTCAAATCTTCTTCTTGCTATAATTATAATTATTATTATTATTATTATTATTATTATTATTATTATTATTATTATTATTATTATTATTATTATTATTATTATTATTATTATGAATTAGGGGCTTCCTGGATATCTGTGTATAATAAGTATTATTTCCCACTCCCTTCCCATGAACCTCATGTTGCCTTTTTATTTTTCCCATCTACCATCAATTGCTTTTTGCATATGCGTTTGGCTCAAGGTGATTTTTTTTTCTAAATATTATCTGTATTGTAGGGTTTCTTTTTTTACATTTACATGCGTCTGCACAAAATAATATGGCTGTTCCTAAGCACGTTATTCGTTCGCTTTTTAATTTTTACCTAGTTATTTATTTATTCATTATGTATTAAGTAATTGATCGAAGGGTCCTTCAAACTTTCTATGCAGATGTATCTGAGGGGCAAAATGGCCGTTTACTTGTAATTCGAGCAGAGCGGTGAACCCCGAATGGCCAAATTGAATACGTTGTTAACTTACTGAGTGCCTGATGAGTCAGTGAGGACCAACCAGTGAGTTCGTCGTGCGAAGCCTCATAAATTTCACGGGATGCGTCTCACGACTCAAGCAGACTTGTTTTGACTTTCCTCGGGAAACATCATAATTTTCATTTGCCAATCCAGTCAATAATGAAATTTTTTTGGTGCTATCATTCTTCGATGATTGATTGATGATTGATATGTGGGGTTTAACGTCCCAAAAGCAGCATATGATTATGAGAGACGCCGTAGTGGAGGGCTCGGGAAATTTCGACCACCTGGGGTTCTTTAACATGCACCCAAATCTGAGCACACGGGCCTACAACATTTCCGCGTGCTAGCATTCTTCTTAACGAGAATTGTCCTAGAATTGGATCAGGGTACGTGCATTGGAATTTCAGCGATCAGCATGCCATGAATTCAAACCAAAAGGAACAAAGCTAGCCGGCAATGGTAAGCCTATAGATGTTAGAGAACTGATGGCAACTAAGCAAAAACAAAGCGGTTAACATTGAAACCGTACCACCTAGAACTTTGACTACTGTGTGTGTAACTTTGATTTTATCTATATAAACAAGGAGTTTAACTAATACTTCTTAGTCGCTCTCGAACTCCAGTGGCTTATGTCTTATTGCAGTTTCTATTTTACTTTTCGTTTTGCCGCTTTTTCTGCACAGAGCCACTCCCGCCAAACAAGCCACTGCCAGGTAAGCTTTCAGGCAACCCATTTAGGATACGATTAAATGTTGAAGCGACAGCGTTGGAGAACCCATTTGTCAACGTCGTTGATTAGGATTCGAAAATTGGCGTTGCCTTTGAGCGACTATTTGAAGTCAACGAACAAAGTGATGAACCGCGTAGGTAGGCATACGGTGTTATGGGCCTGTAAAGGGCCCCTAACTGATTCTCAAAATGAAATTGTCGTGTGTACCTTCCAACTGCATTTGTACTAGGCACTCCGGGTTAGTTCCAGATGCCCAAGCTTATATACGCGAACAGACGTTATATTCCTTGCGGCACGGCTGAGGTGTTTCTTGAAAGCCGAAACTGGGCTAGCGAATCAAAAGGCGGTGCAAAAGAAGCCCAATTGCACTATCGCGTTCTACACTTGTGTCGAAAGTCAGTCATCTTCCTACTTTTAAACGCGAAGCATTTTTTGGCGAACTTCGGCGACTTAAAACGTACCCACCCACTCACCCACTAGTGCAAACATGACTGGTGCAAACATGTGACTGGTGCAAACATGTGACTGGTGCAAACATGATAATCATGAGATGCGTGTCATGTGAGAACATGACTGCATGCCACAGTCAAGACACCAAAACATTTCGACGTGACGCGCTGCGCGTGCTCGCCGGTGTTCATTTCGTCGCGTAACGCCAGCGTTGCCACGCCAGACGCCGGTCCTGCTATATACTCGCAGGCTTGCGCAGCGCTGCGTAGCTTTCACGCATGCGCGTTTCAAAGCGTCCAGCATCCCTCTGTCACGAAATGAGGGAGGCGCAGTGTTGTTTGGGTTAAGGTGCCTAGATGAAACAAGGAAACTTGTTTCATCTGGAGACCTTAGTTTGGGTAACATGTCGGCGCGAGATGCAGCATGCCGCATTTCGCGCCGGTTGCCATAGGGCCGCGCTGACGGATCACGCCTGGCGTCATACTATACAATGCTCGCGTTTTGCTAACGTAGAGTCACTGTGCCCAGTATATGCGCGCGTCAACGCTACATAGGAGTACATAGGCCCTTCATGATGCACTCGCGGCCATTTTGCTACCTCCACATATACCAACCTCGATGTTACGTGACGTCAATGGATGACGAAAGTCTATGACTGGTGCAAACATGATAATCCTGACACGCGTGTTATGTAAGAACATGACAACATACCCCGCTCATAGCGTGCACACGGTCGTTTCGCTAGCTCCACATATACTAAGCTTGGTATCACGTGACGTGAATAGCAGACAAAAGTAAAAGAGACATTCAAACATCATAATCATGACATGGAAGTCATGGACGCCATCATTTACATTTACCTCGTAACGTTCTGCTGACTTTAAAGTAACATATAAACCTTTCTCATTCATGCTTCACATATCATTATTTCTAACTGTCCGTGGGATCTGCCAATTTATTAACGTAAAAACGGTAATAAAGCCACACACTTCTTGAATGACAAAGCCTGACAGGCAGCATGCAAACATTTGCAAACACGTACAGTAAATGCTTACTATATAAATATATCAAATTCTATCATACAGCGTTTAGAAAAAAACTGGTAACGATTTGGAGTACTTGGTACTCTACTATGGGAGAGCACTAGGCCGTCCTGTGGAGCTCTGTGACAGTGTTTGGAAAACGTTGTTAACGATATAAAGTACTTGGTACTCAACTATTGGATAGCATGAAGCCGTACCGTAAAGGTTAGTCATCAACACAAAAACTTTGATACTGTGTTTAAAAAAAGTAGATAACGATTTAGAGAGAGAGAGAGAAACGAGAAAAGAGGAAGGCAGGGAGGTTAATTAGATGCTAGTAACGATTTATAGTACTAGGTACTCTGCTATGGGAGAGCATAAAGCCGTTCCGTAAGCAGTTGTTCAACTGCTGACGTGCGCTTTGCTTCTCTAATAACTACCGTTTAACATGAGGCAAGCTAACAGGAGGAATACGAAAGTAATCAGAACAAGCAACATCAGAAACGCAGGAGAACAGTATACACGGAAGAGCAATTATATGGTCGGGGTGTCACCTAAAATGAAACGGCTACAGAAGAAAGACTATAAAATATATATAGAACATGACAGTTAACTCAATTTTAGCAGACAACTGACACCATTAAAATGTTCAGTTTGTCGCGTGAAGGAATAATGCGGGGTAGGTCGTTGTCATGGCGGGAGCAATATACATCTTTCAGGAGAAATAGAACGCGAACCCAGAGGTATACTACCATTCAACTGGATCGAAGGTGGCATGCTCATCTAGTAAAATACTCGATCAATAAATAAACTGACATTGACATGGCTCTGTATTCCCACCCATGACAGGTTTAGCGCATGTTTCATGCAATTAATGAAGAACCGTTTATCACAAGATTCAGGGGAGCGATCGGTACAAATAGCGAGTTTGATCGTGTGCGCAGTAGTCTTATGAGGCTATGATTTTTTTCTTTTTTGTAGGAATAGGCTACCATCACTTATACTGTCGTAGCGGGGTTCATTGAGCAACTTTTCGCGCTTTGTGCTCTTTGCAAGAACGGCAGCTTGTCGGGCTAGGGCGGCGGGGTGGGGGATACGGTTACAGAGATATAATATGGTGCGGAAAGGAGGCAAACTCCTGAATATACGAGTACCTATACCACCGAGAGCTAAGTAAGGGCCCCTCTTTCCCCTTCAGAAAAACCTCTCGATGCCCGAAGTCACTGGGAATCGAACTTAGAACCTCCAACAATTGAAGCAGACTTTTTACAGCAAGGCTTCCATTCTGAGCTCAGCTGAGTGCACCTACATAATTTCGAAAGTTCAGACCCTTAAGGACCAGGTTGTTGAAGAAGGTAAAAGCTGGCAATGAAGGGCAGGGTACATGCGTTTAGTACAGAATAACCTAGCATGGCCATCTGATAGACCTTTCTCATATCTCATATACTGGTTAGTTGTGAAGGAGATTGGACGCCCGGATTCCTACAAAATAGTTATACCTCGCTTCCAAATGAATGAAATCTGCACGCCAATTCTGAATTTGGTTCCATGTTTACGTTCCATGTGTACCGCAGGCTGTGCCACGTGAAAAAAAATTCATTAGTCCAGTCTTGCATGTACGTACATAATTATATAACGGACGACGGGAGTCCTGAAAGAGCCGCATGTTGGAGGGGGTCCTGCTGCGTAGTCACTTTTCCAAAGCTTCCTCTCGCAGATGAGACCGGCTTCCAGAACTACTTTTCGCCTCCCCCGGTGGGCCAAAACTACTACATGCCCAACTACTACTTCTACCCTCAAGCATACCCTCAACCACCTCCTGTTTACACCCTGCCTCCTCTGCCACCTGCCCCTATTTACGCACCTGCTTCTCTCGAAGAGCTCGAGGCCTTTCCCGTCAATGCTCCTCCCAACAGCATCGACAGTAGACGTCCAGGTGAGTTTGTCTCTTAGTATGGCAGAAGGCTTAACTGTAGTCGGTGAACAAAAACGAGCTTCGACTTGGGAATTGCAGCGCACCTGCGTCAATCATCTGTGCAAGAAAGTAGTCCTACGTTGTTTCCGTTGTAAGCATATGTTTTTTGGGAGGGGGGATGGGAGGTTCGTTTTATGGGCGAAGCTCCTCGTTGTCTAACCTTGTCGTGAGTCACGCATAACCGAGAGAAGGGAAAGGGAGAAAGTAAAGAAAGCAGTGTCGTCCGAACAGTATAATAGACGGCCCTGTCTCATAGGTACATACAAACTGCAGTTGAGTGAGGATATTCTAGACGACACTGTACCGCTGCTCTCCGATTGGCTGCTGCGCGGGCATTGCTGGCGTACGCGGAGAACGAGTGCCTCTCTCAGCCTCTCAGATAGTCACCATGCATCGCGGATCCTAGGGCAGGCATAGATGAAGAAGAGCGGCGGGTGCGTTGAAGACACTTGCGCTCAGCTTCCTTGGCTCGCGTCTCGTCGGTGTTACATGCGCGACGTCTTGCGCGGGTAACGAGCGATTCGATGCAAGGACGCATGCATGGACGGATAAACACACGGACGGATGGACAGACTGACGCTTCGCCCCACTCATGATCAGTCACTCCGTAGATATGCAGCGATTTTTTCATTGCTGCTAATATGAACACTACACATAGCAATACTGAAAAGTTTTTTTCCCTATTTAGAGTATTACACCTAGAGAATGATTTTAAACTCCACTGAATTTTGCCAGGAAGTTGAAATTTTTCGTCAGAAAGCCACAGATGCGTGCATGTGTCTGCATAGCACATTCAGCTATGTGAAATACGCCAATTATTACTGACGTTATGCAAACGAGCAAATGCGATTAGATCGATCATTTGTGCATGGTCTCTCAGGAAGGAACAAATGACTGCTTCGAGTGGAGATTACGAATATTCTTAACTTCTACCTGAATATTGCTGGTGGTTAAGTCCTGATATGAACACAACAAACATGCCAGGACAACACAGGTGCATGAATAAAGAAACAGCTCTAAAGGCGAGGCTCGATATGTAGATGGACCATTGCATGCGTGAGCCAAACGTCGGTTAACGTTCAGGAAGTAGTCGAGTGCCTATACAGTTATCTGTCACATGCATATAGTTTCGTATAATCATAATGGAGGAAACTCTTGCGCTGCCGTCTATGTTAGCTGCAATGCATGGCGCTTCAGTGATCATGAGATTGCCGGGTAGTACACGAATTTTTCCAATATTCGTACCTTTGGCTTCGCATGGCTTGAAGCTGCTTTGTCACGAAACGGAAATCCAAAAATGTTTAGCACTGTCACTTCACTAGCTGAACCTTTTAGGCTAACCTATTCAAATCGGCTCACGAAGTTCACAACCGTGCGCGCTTTCATTCGAAACATCACCAAAACACAGCAATGAAGAAATCTACAAGTGTAATCAAGACACGCAAGCACGAAGACTAGGCGAATCTGTGTGATACCCATCATTGCCACGCTCGCAGAACGATCGCAGCGCCAGAGTGCCCTCTAGTTAGTTTCAGAAAGCTCTATTCTCAAATGAACCAGCACGCATGCCGGCTTTAGAGGCATCGACTATGTGCAGGCCAAGGCCATGGCATGGGCATGCGCAGACCTCTTGATGTATACTTTGTTTAGCGCCGCTGTGTGCCTTTTCGGTTAGCGTTCACAGCCGTTATTCAGGCACTTGTTCGCTCCATTTTGCGGTGACCTCTCTCTTATTTGCGTGTTTGTAGGCCTACCGTCTGTATGAAGTCGAGTTCAATTCGTACAAATAACTTTCAGCTAAGTTGACTTCTTTGTTCTTGAGATGTTGAATAAAAAACGACTTTTTTGTAATAACCTTTTTTGTCACAATCGCAAAACCCACTTTTACAGCGCGAGAATACGCTCAGTTAGTTGTATATATTGCAAAAGTAAAATACGGCAGGAGATGCCCGTCTTCAAGTAATGGCTGTCGGCAAAGAACATTGCACTCAATCTATTTGTGTTTTTCTTGGTATTGTACATTTTATTTTTATTTCACTAGCTTCAAACTCAAGTGAAGTGTAAGTATTTGAGCTTTCATTAACTATCACTTTTATACACACAGCTTATACGCCTTCTTTATTGCGTAACGTTTTTTATCGATGCTGATATTTCTATAATATTCAGTTTTATCAGGTTCGAGTTTACTTCATGTTTAACAAGTTCAACAACCAAAACAGGGCGTCTTGGTTGGTGTTTCCTTTTTTGTGATAACCTTTTCGCGCAATACTGGGCCTGCATTGCAAAACATTTCATTAGGTGCGTGATCTTCGTGTAGACTACATTAGTTTGAATAATCGCAGGAAATACGATGCTTTTATTGGCCGTAAGGCTCAAGAATGTATGAAGGCTACGTCTGAGGGCTAGATGTTGCTGCCGCTGAAGATTCATTGAGTATTAGTAAAAATGTGGAGGGGCAGGAACAATGTCAGCTCACCCGCCAAAAATTTCACCTGCGTATTCAGTTCTGTTTTATAGCCTGAATTATTGTCAATTTATGACTGTTCACTTGAAATGTAAAGCTATCAAAGTATGTCAGTTCTTCTTTCTTGCCTGTATCGATTACAATGGCAACGCTCCTGTCTTGCATACAGTTCGCCTTGTAGGTTGTCCACAGCTTGAAAAACGCGATACGATCAATTCTACCGGGTGTATCGTTGCTACTATGTAATTCACTGCAGAGGGCATTGTCTGCCTTTCGGACATGGTGTTGCTCACAATTAAATCATGGGTCAGTGTCTAAGCGATTGTACCTGAATACCACGAATGCTAACATAGTTTACGTATATGTTATTTCCTCGCATACAACCTCCCCCCCCCCCCGAAAAAATATGAAAGCAAAAGAAAACGAGAGAATGGTCCTGAAAAAGTATAGGCGCGTATTTGGGGCTATGTGCATGCATTTTTTTCATTCTTTGTGTAGAATGAGAGTTGCGGGCTTTGTGAAGGAGCACGTTATAAGCGACAGAATGTGGTCCATGTACATTGATGTTTCAGACATTTAAGAATCACGTATAACCGGTAACCTTTGAAAAGCGCTATATGTACAAACATTTCCAAGATTGTGATCCTTGTTACGCAGAAAAGTCAATGTTTATCCGTCTCTTTACACCTCACCAAAATACAAATGTCCAAAACGTTTTCAGTGACCAGTCCGCGCTGAACTTACTGCTGTGTGGCCTTCTGCTTTTCGTTGTCCTCCTTTTCGGCATGGTAGTCTTGATGGCCTACGCTATGGCAGGTAAGCCACAGGATATGTACCGAATGACACTATCAAGCTTGGAAAAGTCCTGACACGAATATATTTTCAGGATTTTGTTCTAAATAAAAACACAGTATTGCGAACCCTTAAAAAGTATCGTAGTGCTTGGAAACGGATTTATTATATTTTATAGCCGCTACCTTAAAGCAGTAATTATGGTGTCGTTATCAAGAGGTGTCTTCTCTACGACCTGTTAACACAAGTACTACGTCACCGGAAGACTGGAAATAGCGACGTACTAACCACAGCTGTTAATTCGCTGTCAGTCGCATGTTAAGCAATGTCGAGTGAATTGTCATTCAAAAGCTCTAGACTCGAACAGCAAATTCCATCGGTTTAGACTGCATGCCCGACACAGATTACGCAAACTCGGTGAACTGTGCTAACGTGTCGTGGCAACGTCCTCAGCAGTGACATTGGCTTTCAAGTACTGACCGACGAAAACCCTAAATAAACTAAAATATTTATACTTGTTATCTCACTGCGGTGTGTGGAGAGTTGATAGTGCACACCTTGAAAACTAAAAATGTCCCTTTTGGAATTGCTGAATATCATGTCAGTGGTCCTGTATGAGTAGTCTCTGGCACTAAGTCTTAGCAAAAAATTTTTAGTCAGTGTTGCCAGATTTGTGATGTTTTCTCACTAGGGTGACTTTATGGTTCTGTTTGGCAAGCAGGTTTAATAAAATTGGTCGTCTACAAATTACCACCACTAGGTATGCCACTAATATTGGAGAACGTTGGGTACGTCACACGTTTTACAGAACCAGTTATAGCTTTTAAATAAATAAAAACATATCACCAACACTGAATAATTCTTTTCATTACGCCGGCATTGATAATACAAGTATAACAAAATCTGAACCGCTGTGTCTCATTTAAACAACGAAGGTCTCGGTGACTTACGCGCAATTTCTTCCACCCTTAACCTCGCGTTCAAGTATATAGACGGTTAGTAATTTAATTACATGCTTTCGAGGGTACCTAGTGTGTTTGTGCATTATTTTTGCAGTAATTGTTGTACATGTCTGTGTTATATATTGTGGTTTTCAATTTATTGCCCCTCACTGTATTGTACAAATAATGCACTTTTCTTACTTTTCCTAAAACAACGTTTTTTTTATTATGATTGCGCAACTCGCCGCCACAGTGTACATCAGGGGCTAAGAGACCTCAAGCTGTCCCATTACAGTAGAATTCCGCTGGTATCTTCGTCACTGCTACGCTTTACCGGTTGCTACGTCGTTTTCGTTGGTTTGGACACAGTATCCATAGGACCCAGTGTATTGGGAATCCTGCTATTGGCATCAATTGCAAGACGGTTGACGTATGATACGCCGTAAAATGCGCTCCATGCCAGGTGAAAGACCATGGAAACGGGTGATCATGTGGCCTCTTCCCGCAGCATGGCCTGGCTTGGCTGTAGGGTTATTCACACGAGTGTTGGAAGCGACAAGCATATTGTTCTTTCGGTTGCCGCGAACAAAACGATAGGTTTCGAGATACTTAATTCGAAGACGGCGTGGGGACGTCATTCGTTTTCAAGTTGTTTTTAGCTCTAGAGAACGGCCTTCGAGATAGGCGTTCGTTTCCACCGTAGATTTTCGGTTCCACCGTGGATGCGATAATTTTCCTACATACGCATGTTGAAACACAGTTCA